CCCTTCTGGTTCGGTACGCCCTCCTTCATGCCCGAGCGGTCCCTAACCAGTAGTAAGATTTCCGGTATAGCTTCCGTCAAAGCTTCACTCCTTTGACGTAAGACTGGATCCGTGAGAACCCTGCTACATGTGCCAATGTTAGCATCACTGCCAACGGGCTGCCGACAGCCACCGCTCGGCCTCTCCAGGGGCCACCCCGATCGGACGCCTCAAGCGGAAAGAAGGGCGGATCGACAGACGAGCCTGGGAGATCGGCCCGGCGTGTTACTGAAAACTTGTTTTGGTTCCATGGTCGGACACTCACCCCCCCCCCGCCCACCGCTACCCCCACCCCACCCACAAACCGGGGCTTGACTGGGGGGCATTCCTTTTATTTCTATTATTCTTACTTGCCTGGGGGTGCCCCCCCATCTGTCGGAGCCAAGGCACGCGCACCATGCACAGGCACGCCCCACTCCACCCCGGGTCCCTCGTCCCCACTTCCTATGGCCATAGCGTCTGGTAGACGGCAACGCAGGAGGAGGCTATGCCGCAGGCGGCGACTCCACGCGGTCCAACCGCACCGGATATCAGCCGGGCCACCGAGTCCAAGCCCCGGATGTACCGCCAGTCCGGGCCCAGAGGTATGGATCCATTGGAGGAGCCCTCGCGCGCAAGCAGCCCAGCAAGCCCCTGTGATGGGAGGGGGAAATCCAGGGCGTTTCGCAGCGTGTCGACCGGCGAAAATTGGTGCCCGGTGTAGGCACCCTGGCCGGCGTCCTTGAGGCGCATGAAAAACTGGTGGTTGACAAATATCCGCAAGAAGAGCTGCTGCGACAGCGAGGTCACCAGGTAGCTGAGCCACAGCCTCGAGGAAAGGAGACTCAGTCGAGCCTGGAAGCCCAGGCGGAAGGTCCCGAGGTCCACAACCTGGCAGACGAGGCGGGGACGGGCACGCGCGCGCGCGCGCGCGCGCGTGTGTGTGTGTGTGTGTGAGAGAGAGGGGCGCGGCAGGGGGCAAAGGCACAGCACTGCGGCAAAGGTGCCAATGACGCCAACAGCAGCGGCGACAGCACCGACGGACCGTTTGGATGGTGTCGCAAAAAAGCCAGAGCCCCAGCTGCACCAGTTTCAGCACCTCCAGCAGCCGCGAGACCACATCAATCAGCTGGAGGGTGTGCTCATCGGGCGTCAGGGGCCGGGTCTTGGCTTGGAAGGCGCGGAAGAGGCGGAGAATGCGCAGCACCTCGGCCAGGCAGGCGCGCCACGTGTCGACAAACTTCCCCAAGAAAAAGACTGGGCAAGGAGGGTGGTTAGCACACGCGCATGTGTGTGTATGTGGAGGAGGAGAGGAGGGAAGCGAGGGCGGTCGAGGTCCGACAGGACGCCTAGCGGCCGGCGGGGCGACAGGGCACACACACACACACACACACACACACCTCTCCGACAGAAGGAAATGTTGGATGCCACCTGGGACCACTGGGCGGGAGATACGCCCAGCAGCGGGGCGTCCTTTGAATGCCCCCGTAGGGCCAGGTACCGGGCCAGGTATTGGACCAGGCGCAGGAGTCGGTCCCGGCCGTTCAGCGTATGGAAGAGCTGCTGCATCCTCACACAGGTGACGGCGGCCAGCCGTCAGAGAGACAAGGAGGCGGGGAGGGGGGGGGGAAGGAGGCGCGGCGCCCTGGCAATTGAGCGGAGGCGCAGTTACGGGCGGAGGGGGAAGGAGGGAGGAGGGGGGGGGGGAGGGGGTGCAAGCGTGGTGCGAGGCACGCCGCCTGGAGGATGGATGTGGTCGGTGGGCGAAATAAAACCCCACAATATGACGACGCGGGGTCGGGGTCATAATTCCCTGCGGCGCCCCGTCCACGCCTGGTGTGTCGGCTCGCATCCCCTCGCCCTCTCCCCGCCCCGTCGAGTACGCCAAGGCATTTGCTCCGGCGGAGCTCCCCCGGGGCCCCGGCCCCCGGCGACCACGATCTGCCCCGGTTGCTGGGCCGCGATGGTCGCCTCAGCGGCACACCGCAGGGGGCCCCGAGGCCGAGATCTGCCCGTGAATTGTTCCCTGGCCCGGGGCCCGAGAAGCATGCCGCTCGCCGTTGGGCCAGCTCGTTCTCACCCCCCCCCCCCGGGGTGAGGAGGCCAGTGGGCGAAGATGATTCCTCCGCCTATTTCCGAGGGTCGCGCCGGGGTGGTGAGACAGCCGAGGACAGGCGCGATCGGAATGTGACACGTGACGGCGCGTGATATGGGGACGCGTGGCCACTCCCGCGCGGGAGTGTCCCGCCTTGTCGGCGTTCTCCGAGCCGAGAAAGAGGGCCAAGCATGCCCGGAGACGAGATCCTCCGGGGTGGAGGGAACAGAGATCCCCCCCCCCCCGATACCCGCCCAACGAGCCGGGAAAAAAAAAAAAGCCATTGTTCGAGCCAATGCGGCGGCCGCGAACTTCCTGCACCCCGCCTCCCCTTCCATACACCTGCCCGCCTGTCCTTCCCATAGCCCCTCTCGCCATGTCCCTTCACATCATCGGCCTTGGCCTCTCCGACGCCAAGGACATCACTGTTCGCGGTCTGGAGACCGTGCGCAAGTGCACCAAGGTTTTCCTCGAGGCTTACACCAGCATCCTGCTCTGCCCCAAGGAGGAGCTGGTACGCATGCTTGTTGCGCCTTCGCCCATTGCACGCCCCTGCTGACTTGTGGGAAAACCCGACACCACACAACACACACGTACATCCGGGGCGTCCTCTTCCTCTCCGCCGTCCTCCCGGCTCTCGCTGTTGTAGGAGGAGTTCTACGGCGTGCCGGTTCTGCTGGCCGACCGCGAGCTCGTCGAGCAGGGGTCTGATGAGATCCTGGACGCGGCGGCCGCCGGTGAGGAGGTTGCCTTCCTGGTCGTTGGCGATCCGTTCGGGTATGTCCCGGCCCCATGTTTCAGCCTCTGTTGTGGTGTGCCCGGCACTTACCCCCTCCCGTCTTTCCTGCTTCCCTTTGCTGTCCCCCCCCCCCCTCTCTCTCTCTCCCTTCATCAACTACCCCGTCCCCCTCCGTCGGCCTGGGCCTTGCCACCAGCGCGACCACCCACACCGACATGGTCCTGCGTGCGCGCGAGCGTAACATCCCCGTGCATGTCATCCACAATGCCTCGATCATGAACGCCATCGCCTGCTGCGGTCTCCAGCTGTACTCCTTCGGCCAGACGATCTCCATCCCCTTCTTCACCAAGACCTGGCAGCCGGATTCCTTCTACCCCCGGATCAAGTCCAACCGTGATGCTGGCCTCCATACCCTGGCCCTGCTGGACATCAAGGTCAAGGAGCAGTCCGAGATCAACCTGGCCCGGTTCGTCGTTGCCTTTTTCTTCTTCTTTTTTTCTTCCGCACCCCAAACCTTGGACCCGCCGCCCTTGGCCGGCAAGCCCTCAACTTACCCACTCTTCTGCCCCTGCCCCCGGCTCTCCGTGTGAACATAGTGGCCGCAAGATTTATGAGCCTCCCCGTTTCATGACCGTCCGCCAGGCCGCCGAGCAGCTCCTTCTGATTGAGGAGCGCCGCGACGAGGGTGGTGCGTTCTCTCTTCCCTCTCTCCCTGGCTCTCTCTCTCTCTCTCTCCTCCTCCTCCTCCCTTTTCTTTCTCTTTCTCTTTCTCTTAAGGTGGGCTGGCGTCGGCCCCATGGGGGCACACCTACGCACACGCATGTGTCTGACACGCAACCGCCTGCTCTCTGTGACACCAGTCTGCGCTCCCAAGTCCCTGGCCATCGGCATGTCTCGCGTCGGTGCCTCCACCCAGGTGATCGTGGCTGCTCCTCTGGAGAAGTTCGCCGAGGCCGAGTGCGACGAGGTTTTCGGTGGCCCCCTGCACAGCCTGGTGCTGGTTGGCCCGAAGCTCCACCCGATCGAGGCGGACTTCATCCGTGGCTTTGCCTGTGAGGCCCTTGGCGGCCTGGAGGCCCTGAACGAGGTGATCGTTGTTGAGGAGTAGGGAGCACGTGTCCCTGGCCTTGCTTTGCCTCTCCGAGCGGACGGGGTGCGCACCATTCGTCTGCCCCCCTCTCCCCC